ATACCATTTTTACAAAAATCCGACATCAACTTGATCTCCAAATCTCAAACTCTCAATTTGAAATCCCTAAGCCCAAATCCTCCAATTTCACCTAAAAAACATGTAATCTATTCGAAATATTCAATGACAATTCAATATAATTGACTAACAATGATCACATGTGACTTACCTTAAGTTTCCCCGTGAATTCTCTCTGAAATATCGCCCAAAACCTTGTTAAAAATATCCAAATGACAAAAATATCGGAACCCCTCTGTTTTTGTAATATGGTTAGTGCTTTCGCACCTGCGGACAAACTTCTCGCACCTGCGGTCACGCATCTGGGGTGAAATACCGCATCTGCAGAAATTGCTTAGCCCAGCTGCCTTCGCTTCTGCGAGCTTTGGACCGCATCTGCGCCTTCGCAGGTGCAGAAAATTCCATCGCACCTGCGGACCTGCCCGCACATACGCCCTTCCTCCCGCTTCTGCGCAAGCGCTTCTGCGCAACATGAGCCATATCTGCGGCTCCAACTGGGCAGCCCTTCGTCCGCTTCTGCGATCCACATCTCGCTTGTGCGAGTCCGCACCTGCGGTCAGTCCCTCCGCAAGTGCGATGACACCAGAAGCTGAAAATTTCAGAATTTGCCTAAGTCCAAAAATTGATCCGATTTCGATTCGGATCGCACTCGGGGTACTCGGGACCCTGTCCGAAAATACCAACAAGTCCTAAATCATCATACGAACTTAGTCGAGTCTTCAAATCACATCCAACAACACTGAAAATACGAATCACACATAGATTCAAGCCTAATAAATCTTAAGAATTTTTAATTTCTACATTCAATGTCGAAACCTATCAAATCAAGTCCGATTGACCTCAAAAAGTCAACTCCCCGGTCAAACTTCCAAACTTAAATTCTTATTTTAGTCATTTCAAGCCTAATTTCACTACGGACTTGCAAATAAAATTCTGATCACGCTCCTAAGTCCGAAATCACCATACAGAGCTGTTGGAATCATCAAAATTCTATTCCAGGGTCGTTTGCACATAATTCGACATCCGGTCACTATTTGGATTAAAACTTTTAATTTTTCTTCAAAATTCCATATCTCGGGCTAGGGACCTCGGAATTTGATTCCGGGCATACGCCCAAGTCCCAAATTACGATACGGACCTACCGAAACTGTCAAAACACTGATCCGAGTCCGTTTGCTAAATATGTTGACCAAGGTCAACTCAGTTGAGTTTTAAAGCTCTAATTCACATTTTAATTTATTTTTCTCCTAAAAACTTTCTAGAAAATTTTACGGACTGCGCACGCATGTCGAGTAATAATAAATAGTGTTTTTCGAGGTCTTAGAATAGAGAATTAATTATTAAATTTAAAGATGATATTTTGGGTCATCACACACCAGGTCTTGGAACACACACTAGAAAAATGTTTGGATTTGAATTTTGTTCTTGGTTGTTTTAATTTAATAAATTCCTGCAAGTAAGAAGAGTTTAATTACTCGATTAATTTTGAAAGAATTGAATATTGGTTTAAATTACTAGTTGGCTTGCCTAACTGTAGTGTTGGTTTCACGACCTATAAGTGAAATTGGGTCGTAACAAAATAGATGATTTAATAAATGTCAACAATTATTCAATTTACTACACAATATGCCTAAGACATTAACCCAATAAATTTTGCACATATAAGCCTGAGTACGTACCCATCACCTCGCGTACACGGCTTTTCACATTTCACAAATGGCACATAAGACTCGATGCCTAAGGGGTAATACCCTCACTCAAGGTTAGGCAAGATACTTACTTTTTTGAAGTTAGGCCGATATTCCAAAATAGCCTTCTTGCTTGAATTGATCTCCGAACAGCTCAAATCTATCCAAATTAATTGTACAACTTCATTAAAATTTATCAAAAATAATTTCGGATAATAAAATACCAACTTAAAATTTTATTCTAAAAAGTCAACGCGAGGCCCGCCCCTCGGAACCCGATAGAATTTTTACGAAATCCGAACACCCATTCCGATACGAGTTCAACCATACCAAAATTTAAATTCTGATGGCGGATCGCCCTTCAAATCTTAAATTAAAGTCTATAGGATTTCTACCATTTTCAACCCAATTCACTAATTTAGTGATAAAAATAACAATAGATTCATGTAATTTAACCAAAATCAAGTTGGGAATTCTTACCCCAATGTTTTCCTTGAAAAACTCTCGAAATATCACCTCACCCGAGCTTCCTTGGTCCATAAATGGAAGAATGAGATGAATTTGGACTTTATTCTGCTGCCCAGGGGTTTGTTCTTCGCGTTCGCGACACTCCCCTTGCGTTCGCGATGAACAAATTCTTCAACGGCCATTTTCAAACTCTTCCCAGACAGCCTCTAGTTTAATGGTCATAACATTTTGTACAAAATTCCAAATAATGAATGGTTTGACTTTCTGAAAACTAGAATCCAAGGGTTATAACTTTTATTTGTTGCTCATCTCCCAATTCCTTATAGATTATGAGATATGAGCTTCCAACGTTAGCCCTATACAATAGAGATTTCCAAACCCTTCCCAGACAACCTATAGTATATCTATCATAACCTTTTGTACACAACTCCAAATAATAAATGGTTTACCTTTATGAAAACTAGACACAAATGTTTAAAACTTTTATTTTTGGATTATCTCCAAATTCCTTATAGATTGCGAGATATGAGCCTCCAAAGTCAGACGATGGACATCAAACTTTCCTTCTTCGCGAACGAGAGAACCTCTTCGCGAACGCGAAGAACAAAGTCCCAACAGATAAATCCTTCTTCGCGAATGCGAGTGCCTCCTCGCGAATGCGAAGAACAACACCAGAACCAGCAACCAGCAGCATCAAAACACCCAAACTTGTTCCGGAACCACCCCGAATCAAACCCGAGGCCCCCGAGACCCCGTCCAATCGTACCAACCAGTCCCAATACATAACACGAACCTGCTCAAGGCCTCAAATCACATCAAACAATATCAAAACCACAAATCGCACCCCAATTCAAGCTTTATAAACTTTAGAACTTCAAACTTCTACATTCGATGCCGAAACCTATTAAATCAAATTCGATTAACCTCGAATTTTGCACGCAAGTCATAATTGACATTACGGACCTACTCCCACTTTCGAAATCGGAATCCGACTCCGATATCAAAAAGTCCACTCCCGGTCAAACTTCCCAAAAATCTTCAAATTTCCAACTTTCGCCAAATGACCCCGAAATGACCTACAGACTTCCAAATCCATATCTGGACGCTCCCCTAAGACCAGAATCACCATGCGGAGCTATTCCCAGGCTCGGAATCTCAAACGGACATCGATAACATCAAAATCTACTTCAACCCAAACGTAGGAAATTCTTAAGTTTAAAAAATACCAACATTCAGTAATAGGCGTCGAAATACTCCCGGGCCACCTGATACTCGACCCGAATATATGTCCAAGTCCGAAATCATCATACGGACCTGTTGAGATTATCAAAATTCCATTCCGGAGTCATTTGCTCAAAAGTCAAACACCGGTCAACTCTTTTCATTTAAGCTTCAAAAATGAGAATTGTTCTTTCAATTTAAAGTCTGAATCTTCCGAAAATCAAATGACCGCCCACGCAAGTCATAATACGTATTACGAAGTTGCTCAGGATCTTAAGTAGCTGAATAGAGCATAGATTCTTAAAAGACAAGTCGGGTCGTTACACCGAAATTAGTACAAGTGTCTTCCGAGCTATTTTTCCTTATAATAATCTAATTCTTTGCCTTTACATTCTAGTTTGATTGGTAGTTTTTTTCTAAGTACAAGAATTTATTTCATGTTAAAAATAATCGATTTTTAATTGAGTCTTTTAATTATTCATCACTATTTGATTCAATTATCATCAATATATCTTGGTAAATGATAGATTTCTCAAAGAGCAATTGATTTGATAGTGTTACATTAAAAATGTAGTTGCCGGAATATGCGTTTGGTAGTGTATGTCTCGTATTTAAGAAAAAAATCGATGAATAACCGAAAAAATCGAAAAAATCAAACAATCGACAAACACGGAATCGATAAAAAACCGACTTAATTGGTTTGGTTTGGTTCCAATATTTGAACAACCGACTTATTTAGTTTGGTTTCTTTTTAGAAAAAAATCGACCCAAATCGAACTATGAACACCCCTACTTGAGATCCTTGCATGTATTCAGTTAGAGTTTGTGACTCAGTATTACCAGTCTTGGGAGGTTGTTATATTTGTTTCCGCTTTTGGTTTCAACGCTTGTATTAAATTATATGATTTCTAAAAAAAAATAGCTCGAAATGTAATTGTAATCGGCTTACCTAGTTTTAGAGACTAAGTGTCATCACGACGCCTGTGGTGGGATTTTGGGTCGTGAGAATAACAAAAATAATTATGTTATAATTCTTGTTAAATAAGTATTACCTATAACTATAAGTTCCAATAATAATTAAAAGAAAAAGTGAATTATGTCTAATTGATGTGTAAATAATTAATTATATAGAATTTAAATGACTATAAGATCGTATCACATTACATTGTATAACTAATTATATATATTTTTTGTCTTGACAACAAAAATATTTATAATGGTTTGGTCCTTTATTAAATAACGTATTAAATTCTTTTTCAGCTATGCCAAAGAGTCATTATAATATATTGTCATGCGAGATTAGTAAATAACTAGATATTTTATTTAATTATTTATGTATCTAATATATCACATTAAACAACTATGAGCTTGTATCTAATTACAATTATTACTATTACATTCAATTTAAATAATAGTAATAAAAAGATATCCTTGAAAATATTTAATTTGTTCTATTATATTTAATGTAAATCAAATATTTATAAATAATTTTATTTTTTAGGTAAGCCATACTTGTATTACATTTATTTACATTTATAATGTTTGTACATAAAAAGTTAGAAAATTAAAGAATAGGGTTATAAAACAAGAATGAGATCCCAAAACCTAGCCCCTCATCTTTTTTTTACCTCTCCAGCCGTCACACCCTCACCCGTTTCCCCAACACCTTCGTCAACCACTAGTGCAGGTATGTTTCTATCTTCTTTAATTCTCAACTTTTTGTCACTAATATATATCGACATATATAACAGTATTTCTTTGGTTACATTATTTCTTACTCTTTATTATTATCAATTTTCAATGTGCACGTCAGACTTCATTTGTAACTTATGCTAGATTTGATAAAAGTATATTTATTCTTCTTCTTAGTTATTGGGAAACGAAAAAATTGGGAAGAGAAAAGTTTTAATCTTTATGTTCATTATTATTAGATTGGTATATCAGTAATAATTTATTTGTTTATGGTTGAAGCTTCTGAAATATGATTAAGGAGATGCTTTTAATATTTTTTGATGAAATTAATTTTGATCCTTTTCTTATGTGGTTTCAGGCGATTATGAATTTTTTTTACTGATATTCCCATTTTATTGGTGTGAATGAACTCGCTTGCTATTTCCTAGATATGTTGTTGTCTATGTTAATATATCTATAGGTTTCTTTCTTATAATTTTTCCATGAAATGATAATGTAGGACTACATGCTTGTTCCTTGATTAAGGCTTGTTAATAAAAAAAACTTCTAGGGTAAAAGATTGAGTTGTATTGTAAAATATTTTGAGTTTTACTATCCTTGTTAAAATTATTGAGAGTTTCATTATCTCATAAATTGGTCATATAAGCATGTTAAGGAGATATTAGTCATGAAGTTAGTAATAACTAAGTCATCAGAGAGTACAACAACAACAACAACAACAACAATAACAACCCAGTATAATCACACTAGTTGGGTATGTGGAGGGTAGTGTGTACGCAGACCTTACCCCTATCCTAGGGTAGAAAGGCTATTTTCGATAGACCCCCGACTCGCTCCCTCCAATAACTCTCAACCTTGCTCTTGGGGTTACTCTGAACTTACAACCTGTTCATTGGAAGTGGAGGGTGTTTACCACTAGAGCAACCTCTTAGTTTTGTGAGAAGGTAATCTATAATAGAAAATATTTGACCATCCTGGACCTATTAAAAAGTTTATATATGATCAGCTATTTTTGTTTTCTAGTGTTAATTTGCTTTATCAAAATTGACAGGTAAATTTGAGGAATCAATAGAGCAGCAATGATAAGCTAAAACAGATATTGATCAAATTAAGGTGCAGTTGGAGTAGTGGCAAGAGAGAAAGGAGAAGACTGTGCGGCATCGGGCAAAATACTGCTAACATGATCAGATTCATAGAGAATTACGTATTGCAAATGTTTTGAAATTTTGAATATACAATTATGTGTAACTTGAAATCTATTTTGGAATCTGAAAGATTTGAATACTTAACTTAAAATTTCTTGTGACTAACAATGTTTGTGGAAAGTTTTTTAATTTGTAGCAATATAATTGTTGAATGTGTAGCTAAATAAACGTATATATAATTGCCACGTAACAAGAATATGGCTATACATTTTTTACTTTTCGTAGCAAATGTATGTATTTCATGGCAAAAGAGTAGATTCATAGCTATAAAAAAATTTACTCGCAGCTAAATATAAGTACTATTGCCACGAGTCTAAACTATAAAAATAGCTACAAAAATTAATTTTTTGTGGCAAAGAACTTAAACCTTTTGCCACAGCAGAACATCTTGTGTCTAGAGTACAAAATTTCGAAGCAATATGTATTAGTCTTTAGCCACAAACCATTTAAAGTTTGTAGCTAATTTTTAGTTACGCTACGAATGCTACGAAATTGTTTTTTGTAGCTAAGCTACGGAAATTTTCATATTTAGCTATGATATATTTTGTAGCTACAGATGCATAATGTTGTAGTATATTTTGTTAAAAAAGAAAGTACTCTTTTTACAATATGAAAAGAAAGTACTCATTTTGTTGAAATGAAAGATAATACTTTTTCTATATCATAAAAAGAAAATACTCAATTTATTGAAATGAAAGAAAATATTTTTTCTATATCATGAAAAAAAAAATACTCGGTTTGTTGAAATAAAAAAAATATTTTTTCTACATTATGAAAAGAAAGTACTCGTTTTGTTAAAAAAGAATAAAATACTTTTTCTACGCAATGAAAAGAAATACGCATTTTGTTGAAATGAAAGAACATATTTTTTCTACGTCATGAAAAGAAAATACTCATTTTGTTGAATGAAAGAAAATATCTTTTCTACATCATGAAAATAAAGTAAAATACTTTTTCTACATCATGAAAATAAAGTACTCATTTTATTGAAAAAAATACTTTTTCTAAATCATGAAAAGAAAATAATCAATTTGTTGAAATAAAAGAAAATATTTTTTCTACGTCATGAAAAGAAAAAAATTAATTTGTTGAAATGAAAGAAAATATTCGTTTTGTTGAAATGAAATAAAATACTTTTTCTACATCATGAAAAGAAAATACTCATTTTGTTGAAATGAAAAAGAAAGTACTCTATCTATATAACATGAAAAAAAAAGTTCTCTTAATAATATTTTTATTTAGGATGGAAGTGGTGGTGAGCAGTGGCGGATCCAGACTTTTGTGCAAGTGGGTTCAGATAGATATTAAAATTTATCTAACAGTAGAAGTAATATTACTAGGCAAACAGACGAGTTTTACCCTCCGCTCTTTATGTTGTTTCATAACAAACCTCAACAAGTATTTGTGTTTA